CATTCACTCACCGCCCATCAACAGTCACACAGTTATATCATTCACTCACTCACCCCATCATCACTCACACAGTTATATCATTCACTCACCCACCCCCTCAACAAGCACACAGTTATATCATTCACTCACCCAGTTATATCATTCACTCACCCAGTTATATCATTCACTCACCCACCACCTCAAAAATGACACAGTTAATTCCTTCACTCACCCACCCCCTCATCACTCACATAGTTATATCATGCACTCACCCACCCCCTCATCACTCACACAATTATATCATTCACTCATACAGTTATATTATTCACTCACCTACCCCCTCATCACTCACACAGTTATAGCATTCACTCACACAGTTATATCATTCACTCACCCACCCCCTCACAGTGTCTGTGGCCATGGAATGTTAGCCGAAGTGTTTCCCTGTGCTGATTCCACCACTGCAGCATTGGTCTACGCACTGTCTGAGAGTTCAGACGACACCATTCGCAACCCCTTCCGTTATTTGGGCTGTCATCACTGTATGGACAGTACGCACAGGACGTACGTTGGTATGGGGTGAGGTGGTGGTTCAGGCATCTTAAACAACGTACTATGAAGTGAAGTAGTTCAGGAATATCATTTGGTGTAGTTGAAGCGACGTATAGCCTAGCACTCTCAGTCGGTCTGCCATGTGCACAGGTCTGGTCATCGCCAGATAAAGTACGTTATTTAATATGTTAGCACAGAGCTGCAGCACTCCAGTAATATATATTTATATATATATATATATATATACATATATATATATATATATATACTATATATATATATATATATATACTATATATATATATATATATATATATAAACATATATATATATATATATATATTGTTAGTTACAGGAAACAGTATTTGATATATAATGGGTACGGAGATTGTCTGTAGTTTGTTAATAGATTTGTTAGATGTTTGTTATTAAATGCAGTATTTGATATATAATGGATATGGAGATTGTCTGTAGTTTGATAATAGATTTGTTTGTTGTTTGTTATTAAATGAAGTATTTGATATATAGAGGATATGGAGATTGTTTGTGGTTTTTTAATAGACTTGTTTGTTGTTAAATGCAGTATTTGATATATAATGGATATGGAGATTGTCTGTGGTTTGTTATTAAATACAGTATATGATATATAGTTAGCGTATCATTTGTTTATTGTTTGCTAATAGATACGGTTTTGAATATATATTGGATAAATAGTTTGTTTATTGTTTGTTTTAAAGTACACTATTTGATATATAATGGATCTATGTTGTTCTTGTTCCTTTGGCGATACTTACAATGAATACTTATAATGAATACCCAAAATGAATACTTATAATAAATACATATAATGGAGACTTATAATGAGTACTTACAATGAATACTTAAAATAGCATACAATGAATACTTATAATGAATACTGTAAACCTGCAAAATCGCACGTACTTGTATTATATATATAAAAAGCCCGGGTGGTGACGGAATAGACATCGAGTGCCACCGGGTGAGTGACTCGGTATACTCCCGACCCCCTAAACCTTACACCACACATCTTTAATTCGGGCTATTTATAAAGGGCCTAATCAGGGTCTAAGCGTACTGCTATTCTGTACAGCTGCGGCATTTAGTGAATAGTTTATTAAATCATACGAATACCTTATCTTTATAATATACTACCATGGCGTGTGCTTTATCAAATCATATCTTTATAATATACTACCATGGGGTGTGCTTTATTAAATCACACCACTAGTTTTCACCAAAACTTCCCACAAACCATTACAGTCCGTGTGGGTAGTTGTGGGTGTTCTGATCTTAGCCACAGATAAGCCGGTGGGGCTAGAGTCCACACGAAAAGGCATCAGCTGTGGGTATAGCCTTGTTAGGTAAGGCTTCCAAACACTCTGAACCGGGACCTGCGCACCTGTTCCTAGACATTAGGGCCCATATGGACCTAAAGTAATGCCTCCAAGACCAGCCCACGATACACTACATACAATATAGTCGTGGCGTGTTGTTGTATCATTTGTATCATTGTATACAGGACACCCCAATGAATACATAACCCCCACTATATACAATATAGCCGTGGCTGCGTGTTGTTGCATTGTGTGGGGCGTTTGATGTTTTTAGGGTTTATGGTTTTAGCAGGCCCAATCGGCGCAAATATCCCATAAACCCTAAAACCCAGTTGGTCGTCTCTGAGTCTGAAGACGTAGACGCAAGTACACCCCGTGTCGTGTCAGGAGAGACTGAGTTCTGTGACTTGAAACCCTAGAACCCTAAAACCCTATGGCATTTGCGGGGGATGACGCACCGGCTGTGTTGCAGCGCTTGCAATCAGAGATGTCACAGTTCTTGGGTTTTAGGGTTTCAATCCCCAGAAAGACGCTTGTCATATGCGACTGTTGCTGCCTGCGTGCTCCTGCTCCATGTGCCAATATACCACTCATAGCAAGAGGTACCTAAAACCCCAAACCTGCACGTACAACAGCTGTCACTTGCAATGCAGGACGGTACATGGGAGGGCTGTCGATGGCTACGACACTCATTGCGTTGCAACGGCTGAGGGGTCGCCACAGGCAGCTAGGGCGTATGGGTACATACAATGCACCTGACAGAGGACACAGCGGTCCTAAAAACAGGACATAGGGCAGGGCCAACAAGCGGTCCTGAAAATGGGACATAGGGCAGGGCAAACACCCGCAGCGAAAGAGATCAGGACACAAACACGGCTCTCTCCTGCGATGAGATACACAGAATGGACTATACATTGTATGCAGGTGGGCCGCCCCCCTACAGTATGCCAGTAAACCACTATCTGCAACAGGTTTATATACATAACCACCCCCTCCCCAGAACACCTGTTGCAGGGGGGTGTATATACATAACCACCCCCTTACAACACCTATTGCAGGTGGATGTTCATGTATGCGAGTAGACCACCCGCTTACAACACCTGTTACAGGGGAATGTATATACATAACCACCCCCTTACAACACCTGCAGCAGCAGATTGTACAGCACATGCACCCAAGTGTCAGGCAGACCTGCGGTGCAGTAGTGCAGACAGTCACCCCCACCAACAAAGTGTGCGTCTGGGCGCAGAATGGAGAACGAGATGTTCAGGATGCTGTGGGGTTGGATAGAGAGGGATAGGGACACAGGGTGAGACTGGGCGGGATATAGGGTAGGGATATGAACATCCTTTATACACACGTGTATGTATGTTTATATACACGTGTGTGTATGTTTATATTCACGTGTGTGTATGTTTATATACACGTGTGTGTATGTTTATGTGTATGGGTGTGTATGTTTATATACACGTGTGTATGTTTATGTGTACGGGTGTGTATGTTCAAGTGTATGGGCGCAGAATGGAGAACGAGATGTTCAGGATGCTGTAGGGTTGGATAGAGAGGGATAGGGACACAGGGTGAGACTGGGCGGGATTTACTGTAGGGATATGAACATCATTTATATACACGTGTGTATACGGATATGTGTACGGCTGTGTGTGCATGGGTACATATGTATAAGAATATATATATGTATGTGTGCATGTGTATCACAACTACGAATACCGTCCCAATTTTTAGAGTTTAGGGTTTGCTCAGACATGCGTGTGTACTTCATTCCTACATCTAGACGGTACTCTGCGAGCATCAACAAAAGGATACTACTGGACTCACAGCCAAATAAACCAACCACGGCCCACCTCCAAACTCAGCTCTAAATCCAATACAACATCACGCACAGAAATCAAGGGGGTGTAGCAACCCTGAAAAATTGGCTCAAACCTTGAACCCTAAATTCAGGTGGACATACTGTAAATTGGCACAAACCCTAAACCCTCAACCCTATGTTCAGGTGGACGCACTAGAAATCGGCACAACCCTCGAACCCTAAATCCTAAATTCTGGTTTCCTTACTGGAAATTGGCACAAACCCTAATCCCTAACCCCTATATTCAGGTATACTTACTGGGAATTGGGATTGAGCGGCGAGTTGTCGAAGGCCTCTTGCCACATGTGTTCTACGGTGGTCACCCGTTCCCAGTTGTAGCGTGTGGCTGTTGGTTTAGGCGTGGCTGCGTACGGCTCTTTGTACTTAATGCAATTCTCATGGCCCACGGGAGACGTGCTGATGATGATCTGCAGGTACAGTTGAGTAGACACGTGAGTAGATAAATTCTATTTATAGATAGAAAATATG